ACACACACACAGAGCGCAACTGGTAAAACAACAGCGCCTTCCCCCCGAATAGAACGCACATCCATTTTCTGTGTATCGAGACAGAGAGCTGCTCCAAAAAATTACAGCCATAATGGCCGTGCCTTCTCTTCAATGTGCGTTTTTTAAACTTTTTTTGGAGGCACCGGCCAAGGGGCAAAAGTTCCACAAAACACAAAGGTGACCTGGGCCGGTAGGGGTAAGACGAAAATAAATAGGGCCTGGGAAAAGTTAGCAAGTACCGGGACATTTTGCAAAGATGGACAGTACCCGGTAGGGGTATTTTGCAAAGACGGGGGGGGGGGGGGCAACTGATGCCGGGGACATTTCGCAAGACATTTTTTGTGTCAGAGGGGTGTTTCACTCTACCCACATCTTTTAGGGGCATTTTGGCATATATCTCAACTTATAGGGGTATTTCGCAAATTACACCTCAATTAATTCATTAATTAATTCTGATAACAATTCATTATAATAATAATATCATTAAGAAAAAAAGAGGATGAACCTAGTTCAACCTTGGGTACTGGACATAAAAGAATTGACAACTTTTAATACCTTTTTTCCATACTTGCAACCGCACGAGCCGCACATTCGTGCGGAGTTCCATGCGGGGGGTGCCTGTGCGGAATCGTGCAGGTTTTTTATTTTTATTACTATTATTTTATCTTTTTTGGGGAAGATGGGGATATGGCGACGAGAGGGGGATATGGATGATGTGGACGAGGAGGACAACGAGGATAGTGAGGACGACGAGGAGGAGTCGTCGAGATGGGGGAGGAGAAGAGATGGACGGAGGGAAAGGAGGAAGGGCAGGAGGAGGAGGACGAACAGGAGGAGGAGGAGGAGGAAACGAAAATGAGAAGGGAGGAGGAGACATGGAGGATGAGGAAGGGGAGGAGGAGCAAGGTGAGGCAGTACTGTAATTTTTTTTTTTCATCTCGCTTATAATTTTGGCGGGGGGCCTCAAACGCACCGTTTCGACCCCTGTCTTTTTTTTTTCTGAGGGGGGTGACGGGTCGTTCTCCACACACGTTGTGCGCCACACGGGATCGATTGGGCGCGTGCGCCGCACGCAGGGAACCGCCCACACGACGTGCGCTTGCAAGTATGCTTTTTTCTTTTATTAATAAAACTAAATTATATTCTTCTCTCAAAATGTTTCGCCTTTCACTATCTACCTCCTCCTCTTTTTTTTTATATATAAAGTCCATGGTGTTGTAGAGGCCAGTCACCGTAGGCCGTGGGTGTCCTGGAATACGAGACCACCTCCCATCCCATCCTCGCGTCAATACTCCTAGCGTACCCCCTATCCCCCTATCCTACCTCAGTGTGACCAGCACTCAGGACCATTACCCTACCAATGGGCAGGTAACTTGGACCGAACAGCAGTGATAGGCACCAGGGCTGACAGGTTGCCCAGCCCTGGTGGAAGCGGAATCGGACGAGCCTTGTCAAACGGGAACTTCGGACGCCAGGCCCAGACAATCTACTACAGGCCCCAAGAGACTCTGGGCCCCAGGATTCGGACAGGGTAGCACCCATTGAAGCAGTCTTACCTTCCTTCCCCTAGCTTACCCAAGGCCAGGCGGAACTCGGACTGGCCTGAGCGACTTATACCCCTACCCTTACCCCAGGGTCTAAGCCTTATATATAGTCACTGGACAGTTCTATTCGAATATAATAGGAACTCCGGTGGCCCATACCTGTCCCTACTGGCGATACTAGACCCCACCAGTGACTAGACCCCCCCAAGTCTGACAGTTGTGCAGTTCGCAATCTATGTGTGTGTACCCGAAGGCTATGTATGCTCCGTGTATCTATGTATCCAGATGTACAGACAGCACTATTGTGTGTATGTAGGCCGTAGGCCATGTATAATTCGCAAGCTATGTATATGCCCGAAGGCAGTGTGTGCTCTGTGAATCAATGTATCGAGATGTATAGGCAGATCATGTGTGTATATCGAAGAGAGAACGGGCAAGCTGGACAGGGACCCCCCCCAAGGTCCGAACCAAGCTCGAACCCGTGACCTTGAAACATGTAATCGTATGACTCTACCATATGAACGACTAGTGGAAATGGCACGAACGTGTGATATGCCAGACTGGGGAGATCAACAGAACACCCAAGACTAACACCCCCAAGCAACCCATGTGAAACCCAGAACCGACATACAACACCATGAACAACCCTTGGGTGGTGCGCAGGCAGTGTCTGCAATAGCTTACCTGCGTCATCCCAAGGGGGTGTGTGTCCAGCCGTGCGTCATTCTAACGCCCTGCCGGTGTCCATGCGCAAGGTTACGGATTTGAACCCGCAACCTCGTACCACAATGCGCATTTCCAACTGGTGCTCTAACCACTGAGCTACATCAACTGGACTACCTACCTACTCCTACGGCTATACGGAGGGGACCCGCGCAAGCATAGCTAGTAGCTACCTCTCACGGTGAAGGGGATATTGCATGTTGCCCCTGGTTGAGGGTGCAGGGTTGGGGCTGCCAGTGGGGATCCGGCTAACACAAAGACTGAGTATTTTGCCAGTAGCTGCACCTCCCTTTTCAGCGTCCTCCACCCCCCATCGAGTAGCAGCAGTGTCTGAGGCCAACACTCTCCCACACGCCATACACAACCCACTCACGCTGACACTCACACCCCTGTTGGCCAAAGACCCTACTAATACCCATCAGAGGTATCAAGCAGACCATCACAGCTGGTCGGCACTAGTAAGTGTGCCGCAGGCGCTCATGGGGCGCAAACCCACAACCTCCCGAATGCCACTTGCGTGCCTAACCAACTGAGCAAGGCCGCTCGATTCACGACTTCTTTTTTCTTTTTTTTTTTTCACAACTTAACATTGGTGAGAATGAAGTTCTCAAATTTTCAATCCAACAACAAAAAAAAGGACACTTTATCGTCGTACGTACCTAGCTTTCCCGGGGCACCCAGCCGGGTAGGGACCACGCCCGGGGTACCTCGGGCATGCAAAAAATCCATGAATTTTTTTTTTACTTTTTTTTTTTTTTAACCTCCAGACCTTGCTGCGCTTTGGGAATAGTGCCCAAATCCGGCCTCTTTTTTTATTTTCACGCATGTTGATTTCTGTGGGTCGGGGGGGGGGGGGGGGTGCAGAAGGGGGCGAATTCGAATCCTGTATCAGCGCGCACCGTCGATCTATGCAGATTGACGGCCAGAATCCCCCCCAAAATTAAAAAACTGCAAAACGAGGCCTATTGGACCCCCCAAAAAAATGCGCCGACCGCCGAAGACAAAGTTGGCACGTTTGGAATAGGGCTGCGCCAAAAAAAAAAAAATTTGGCTT